CAAAACTTCAAAATCATGCCGAATGAACATAAATCTTCCCTTAATAGCCTGTCTCTGTGCTGCATACCTGTTGAAAGTGTGTGAAAACAAATTTGGCAAGGATTTTTCTGCCAGGAACTTATGAGCCTGTGTGCACATGTGTAAGTGTTTTTCATTTGAGGAAACTGATGGCACTAACATTAGTAAAGTAAGAAGAAAATTGTAAGGACTGTTGGGAACTGTTACCCTCCACACCTAAACTGAATGAAACTTGAAAATATCTTCTTTTCTAAGGTGGGGCTGAAGACCTGGGCATATTACTAAAATTCAGAAGAGAAGAAGGAGGAACCTGTTCTGTTGCACGAGAATCAAGTTGGGCCATAAGGAAAGAGATCTCTGAGCCAGGCCTGGACGAACAGGTAGAATACTAAAAGGTGAAGTGAAAAGAACTGAGTGCATTCCACCAGGAGGGGACAAGACCCGAAGGTGGAAAAACCCTAAAGGAACAAAATAGTCTGCAATCAAACACAAAGTGCAATAAATGTGAAATACAATTAAAGATGTATTTGTAGGTACAACTATTATGTATATATTGTAGATAAGGAAACTGAAGTCCAAAGAATTTAAGTGATTCACCTAAGGGCAAACAAGGACAAACTGGAACTAAAACCAAGGTTTTACATTCCCAGGTAGGTGTTCTTTCTGAAATAATATTCTGGCTTAGACTGGGGATGCATTATAGTGGGTGGGAGAGAATATTCCTTTGAAAAGTAACAATAAGTGAAGAGGTTGTTAATTGTCTGAAGACCACATGGCTGAATAACTGCAGTGGTGTTGATAAGAGCCGGGGTCTCTGGGAGAGCCTGTCCAGGGCCGCTGGCCCACCATCCTTCTCCCCCAGAGGCATAGCTCTTACCCATTTATATTTTAGGACTCAACTGACTAAGAAGAGTTATAAACCACAGGGATTATTAGGAATGTAATTGAAAAGGAGTTCATTTTTCTTCTTCTTTATTTTGACTGCCCAACATCAGAAGAACTGAGCCAATTGAGGCTGAGGATCAAATAATACAAAATTTTATTTTATTTTATTTAATATTTATTTTTTAGTTATAGTTGGACGCAATACCTTTATTTCACTTATTTATTTTTACTTGGTGTTGAGGATCGAACCCAGGGCCTTGTGCATGTGAGGCGAGTGCTCTACCGCTGAGCCACAACCCCAGCCCAATGTAAAATTTTAAAAGTGGGAAACAGAAATACATTGTAATGAATGTAGAGTTGGGAGGCCTGAGTTCTAATACTGACTGGTTCTACTACTAAAAGTGGTGCTGGCTTTTGCAAAGTACTTCACCTCATAAAATTTATAAAATGAAGAGGCTGATCTAGCTGATGTCTAAGATTACCAAATTATAATTTTCTGTGATTTTCTGATTCCTTTTGTGGACAAAGGAATACAGGAAGAGTTGAAGGTAAAATGAAACTTTGGGAAGCCATATACAATTTCTGAATGCAACAGGAATATGCCCTATTTAGAGACACATCAATCAATCCTGTAATTTGAATTTTTGTTTATAGAACTTTCTTATAACAGAGTACAATTAATAAATAAAAAGAACACACAAATTATCAGTTCTAAGAAATGGGAAAAAGGAATAGGAATCAACTAGGAAAGCTAGGAAGGCGTTCTTTCAACTTAATCCATAGACTTTCTTGTTGCCTATTATTGTTATTAGGAATATATATGGTATTTAAAATTCAGCAAGTATTATGATTCATTAGAGAGTATTTTCTGTAGTGAAGACAGAGGGACACTTTCAACAGTCCTTGACTTTATACACCCCCCCAAAAAAAATTGGGGGAGGAGGCAAATGAATTGAGAATTGATAGGTAAGACTTCATAGTTTGAAAGAAGGGAAGCCAAAATTAAATGAGCCTAAGAAAATAGTCGGGGGGGGGGGGGCAAGAAAAAAGGAGAGTTCAAGTTCTTAAAAATATGTATTTGTTTTGGCTTACACATATATAAAGAAACTCTGGCAGATACTGCTATCAGTGGTTGTCAGTGCAGAAGACTAAGGGAGAAGGCATATGAGGGACAAGGATAAAAGGGAGACTTTTACCAAATAAATACCTTTGAATTTTTAACCAGTTAAACGTATTACCTATTTTAAATGGTAAACAAATAAAATTATTAAATGCCCCTTAAACTCAAATATTTGTAACAATTGAAAAATAAGAATCCAAAGAAAGGAGGCATTAGAACAGAGTACCAACAGGTAAAGAAAATGAAAAGTTGTAGCACTGGGAGGTCTGAGGAATTCAAAGAGAGGAAGATCCAGGTTGTTGCAGTGACCAGCTGGAAAAGTCACTGTGGAACCCAAAAAGAACCTCAGAAGCTTGGAACAGGCCAAACCAGCCCCCAACTGGAATAAAGAACAGCTTCCTGAAAATCTGATATACAACTTGCATGGCCCTGGGTGTCTCAGGAATGTGGAATCCAAAATGGGATGACACCAGAACTTAAAAATAATAGGGAACTGGTTCTCTCTTACCCCCAAAAAAGAAAGAGGGAAGGAACTAACTAAAAAACAAGTTTCTGGAAAAGTGATAAAAATGATTTATTAGTTAGAAAATGAGACCTGAGAAAATAATAAAGGATTCTGCTTGTATCATTTAGCACAGAAAAGAGATAATATTTTGCTAAGATTTATTTAAGGCAGCCCTTGAAATGCAAACAGAAAGGAATGTCCTCTTAAAGTCACATCTACCTTCATGAATGTTTGATTTGTGGGTTAATTCCCAGTGTGCTTCCTTGTAGGAGAGGCCCTGCTAATTTAGCATAGTGCAAGGCCTAATTAGTAAGAAGTATTAGTAATACTAGTAAGATTTGCAAGTGAACTCAAGGAAGCACATTAATTTTAATCAACTGAAAAATTCCTCACTTAAAAGTACAATGTGGGGGCTGAGGGTCGTAGCTCAGCAGCAGAGCATTTGCCTAGCATGCACAAGGCTCTGGGTTTGTTCTCTAGCACCATAAAAATAATTAGAAAAGTAAATAAAAGTACAATATATATACTTCTGAAATGCTAGCAGAGCTTTCTTTTTCTTAATGCCTCCACAACTAGGTTTTGTTTGTTTTATAATAATCATTAACTGAGTGTTTGTACTTTATAAACAGTTTTTTAAAGAGTACCCCCTGCCCCCCTCCAAAAAAAATTACAACTAAGGTTATCCTTTCCAGGGACAATTTACCTTTGTGGCAAAGCCAAAGGCTCAAGTCAGACTTTCTATCATGCTGAGCCAGTCCCATAATAGAGCTACATCAACAATTTGGCCTATCCAAAGAATAACACACATCAGGGCCAGAGACCTACTCTCTTTGAAGAGTTCTCACTTGCAATCCAGACCACTGAAAACTGAGGCATTGGAAGAGGAAAAAGAAACAACAGGGCAGGAACCAGAGGTAAAGGTACAGAAGGGAAAATGGGTTCTGAGAACTAATATATCTATATATTTTTCAAATCTTAAGTCAGGTTCAAGAAAACAAAGTTTAGTTTGTATATGAGTTGGAAAAATAAATAGTTTAGACCCAGAGAGATAAAGTGACTTGCTAACAGTCATGAATCCTTTTGTGAAGTTTTTTTCCTTCATGTAATTTTTCCCATATAAATTATTTGTGGTATCTTGGACAATACATATTTTAAAAAGTAAATAATATACAGTGAATTATTGTAGAGTCAAAATTCCTTACTTCCAGTCTACTGTTCTTTATATTTCTTCAACTGGAAAGATTTAGACCACTGGTTCCATTTTTTCTTACTATATAACTACTCTACGCAGGAACAGAAGCACCTGGGTAAAGAGCCATTTTGTGTAGAGCTGTCTTAAACTCCTTTTGTCATCCCAAACTAAAAATGCCTCCATAGCTATAGCTAAATCTGTTACTTCTATTCCATTTTCAAGTCAAAAAAGCTTAACTTTTTTCTCAAATTGAAAGACAAAAATGCAATTTAGTTAAGGGCAGTTTTGTTAACAGAGACAGTTTAGTTAAGTTTTATATTGTAAACATATAACTACACAAAATCATTTCCCCCGTTATCTGGAAAAACCTATCAATCTAATTCTTTATAATTCTTTAAATGGCATCTGTTGGATAGCAGTCCCCTAAAATGTATTTGATGTTAGCCCTCAGGATTCAATGGCTAATTGGTTAGCTGGTGAAACATCTTGGAGGCTTTGCTTCTCTATCTGTTGCTTTGTTTCAGTAGATAACTATGAGAAAGAAAACTAAGATTTAGTCAAGTATTTGGGAAGTCTGAAACCCTTGGCCAAAGGAAGACTGGTATTTCTTTCACCTGTGTTTCCTACTACAGGAAGAACAGAATTGACTTTGCTGCAAGAATCCATCCAGACAACTATGTAACAAGACCAAAGACCTGGAGTCCTCCTCCTTGGTTCAGAGTGCTTTATTCTATTCCTGTCCCCAGCAGCAATGCTCTAATGTCACAAAAGGGACCGTACAAGAGAGCAAACCCATCCTCTCCACTATATTAACCACAGACTCTGCTGATTTGCAACAGTAACATCATCTTTATATTTAAAGATAGAATTTCAAATGTGTGTGTCTAAGAGATTCCACAGGGCTATACTATATTATATTCTTTTTCTTCTTTTTATTGACACTAATAAATATTCTTTTTCCTTCCTTTTGGTGCTGGCTATTGAACTCAGGGTCTTGTGCATGTGCTCTATCACTGAGCTACCCCACAATCCCTATGTCCTCTTTTTCTGATCTAACCTGAAGCCAATACCAGAAGTCCTATTAACAGAGTTGACAAATGAAGATCCACAAATGATCCTTACCAGCAACTAAATGGAAAAACAACCCCTGAAAATCAGAACCAAAAAAAAGCTAACTACTTCTCTTCTCCCCACTCTGGCAAAAAGCCACAGCTCTTTCTCCCCATCTCCCACTGCCTTTTAGGAAAGGGGCATCTGCGGCTGCACCTCCTCCAACTCACTTTCTGCGTCAAATAGTATGGGTCAAAGTCCTCCAGGGGAACCGCAACCAGGCCTTGGGGGATGTCCCCGTAGATAAAAGGCAAACTCTTCCCTGCTTCCAGGTCACTGTTTGGCTTGGGCTTGCTGTCTTCATCGTCTTCTCGATGGCTGCCATCGGCCTTTGGTGGTTTCTTGAGCTTGCTCTCAGCAATGCGCCTCTCAATGTTTGCCAGCGACTCAGGGGTGAAAGGCTTGAAACTATCAGGGCCTGGTGGTGCAAGCAGCCGCGCTGCCATCTTCTCATCCTGCAGCAGCTTCGTTAGTTATGCTGCGTCCAGGACAGGTCAGCTCTAGAAGAAACAGCAACACAGACAGCATTAATCAATCACTGTTCTAAAAAGAGGCCAGACTAAACCATCTCACTCTCAACCCTATTCACAACCTTTGCAACACATAGTCTCTTCCATGACTTCTTTTTTCTTCAGGAAATCTGTGGCATGAATGGACTAGGTAATGTTCATAACCACCCCTCACGGAATGATCAGCCTGGGAAATGGAAAGATAGGAGACTCCTGGGTTGCTAGCAATTGTTACATTTACTTAGATCCAACTTACTGTTAGAAACCATAGACAATAAAATGAAGTATTCCCTATCCTCAGGGAAGTTCTATTCTAAATTAATAAGGCATATTTAACATTCTGTTGGGCATATGTTAACTCGTGTGGCCTTATATGCTCAGGTCACCTTCCTTTCCTGGATCTCCACTCCCCAAAAAAAACAGTCCTCTTTAAGGGCAACACAAGGATAAGTTGCTCCTCTTCTCAAATTTCACTTGCTGAAAACAAAATTAGCCCTTAGAGAATTTGCGGGCACAAAATATGAATACAATAGCTTCCGTCTGCTTTAGTCCTTCAAGTTATTTTTCAATTTACCAAGTTGTTTAAAATCTATCCACTATAAAAGTCCATAAGTATCTTCTTCTAAGACAAAGCTCCTGCCTGAGACAAACACTAAACATGGTTTTCTGTGGTGAGGGCAGACACTTCTCTATAAATACCTCCTGCTTGGCAATGAGAAAAAGCAAGTGCGAGTGGAATTCCAGAGAGCTTGTTCTGTCCTGCCATGTTGGAGACCCCCAGAGGGGCTCAAGTCCAAAGTATGAGGCGTGAAAATGGAGAAACAACCCAAAATTCTTTTCTAAAATGAAAGACTGAATGCATACCGGAGCTGGGAACTTCTAAGCCTGGTATTTGAAAAGCCGGGTTATCCATATACAAGCTTTAAATGGAGGAATTCTGGTGGCAAAAGCAACAGTGTTCAGTTCCTGCCAGAACACATAGACAGAGTCTGGCAGCTCACCTGATGCTCAAAGTGCCACTTTCTTCCATTAGCTTTGTGGGCTCTAAAAGGACAACCCGGGAAAAAATTTAAAAGGTTAACAATTCTTTTCCCTCCTACTTAGCCCTCAGGGTCCATTTCAAGGCAAGAATTCATAAAACTTGAAGTTCCTCAAGAGAATGGTAGTAGAATTAACTCTAAGTAATTTGGGAGTGCAATTTCTGAGAACTCTTTTGTGAATCCACCTGCTCTGTAACCCCCATCCCCACCCCCATCCCACCCCCACCCCAGGCTCTGTCTATTGGTGGTGACTGCAGGGTGCTGCTGTGCAGCCTAGAGCATCTGTATGTGGGCTGGGCAGTTCACCTACTTAAAGCCCAGGGTTGATAAGGCCAGAACAACACACTTATCCCAGGTAGGTCCACATCGTTAGCCTCATGCTGCAGAGAAAAACATTCCACAGACAGGAGATGGGGCCAGAAAAATAACTGCATAGGATTAGAGCTGCAAGACATGTAGGTCCAGTCATTCCATTCTGTAGATGAGAAGGGGTCTTAAGAGACGGCTTACCCAAAGTCCCAGGGCCAGGATTAAAAGTCACAGCCAAGAGCTCTGACATCTCATACTTCTTTTATTACAACAATAATCAGTTACCCACATCCTATCATATCTCCTATTAGTCCCCTAAAGCAATAGACTGGTACATTAAGGAAATCAAATAAAATGTTATGGCTCTACTGATCCAAGACTTTATTTACAAATATCCCCCCAACATTGAATTCTTTTTCTTTCATTCCTTTCCTCCTGCCTATTAAATAAACCCCTCCTTCTCCACAAAGCCTTCCTAACAATTCCAGCCTTTGTTAATTCTTCCCTTTGTGCTCCTACAACGCCTCCATCATGATCAGAGCTAACACTGATCATGGGCTATTTCAAGCTCTTTGCTTGCATTAACTCACTTGTTTCCGAAACAACATATGAGGTAGGTATTAACACCATTTAACAAATGAAGAAACAGAGGCTTAGAGAACTAATACTCTTGTCTGAAGTCACACAGCTAGAAAATGACAAAGTCAGGACTCAAAACACCTAAAGTCACTTGTTTTGACACTTAAAACCACTGCCAAAACCAGAACCCACAATGGAACCCCAAAACTAGGACTCCCTGGCTTCTATATTCACATTCATCTTCAACCCTAGGTCACTCTTCTACTCAGAGGACAAAGAACACTTAGGATGCTGACAAATTCTAGTGATGTAACTGCAGGCAGCTGGGCTCCTCATGGCAGTCCACAGCTAGGTCCTCTGCTCTTGCTCTGCTTCCTCTTGCCTTCTTCAGGACAGTGTCCCCTCAGTCATCTCTGCTTCCCAGCACATCTCCAACCTTCCTTTTTCCTTCCTCTATCTTCCCTGTACATCCTCATCTTCCAACTCACTCCTCATTCAGCCTCAGTAACACTATGTTATCTTGGTTCTAAACACAGCTGTAGTCTCCTCTCTCCCTCCTCCTCTAAGGGTTGGCCTTCTGAAATTTCTGTTACACTTTTTCTTTTAGGGATCTCAACTACTCAAAATAATCTGTATACAATGATTTTCAAATTTCTGTCAGCAGCTCTGACTGTTCTGAGTCCCTCAGTTATCTCAAGGGGACTTGTCAACATTTCAAAATTCAAGCATTTAAAACTACTCTTACTTCCAAAGTGGATTCCTCCCAACTTTCTCATTTTTGTTACTAGGACCATGTTTTTTCCAATCATCTAACATGGAATCTCAGTCACCTCTACCCAGTTCTCCTTTGATATCTACAACAAATCAGTCACCAGTCTTCCCAATCCTTCCTGCAGAGCCTCCATTTTCAATTGCATCATCTACTGCAAAAGGTCCTACTGCAAAAGCCTCTCCCCTGGTAGATCATCCTCAATCTACCAGGTACATCTCCAAAGATCTTTTTCACCAAAAATCCTGCTTTCATTATGTTATTTCCCTCCTGCAAACCTACCAGTTAAAGAACTGATTCCAGACTCCTGTCATGTCACTACTACTCAAGGCCTTCAGTGACTTTATGCTTCTCAAGCATTCTCTTCCACTGGTTCTCTGCAACAACATCTGCCCTGGTGACTGTTGTCTGTTTTCTAATGTTTCTTTCTAAAGGTAAACATAATACAATATAGTAAATGAATCTGCAGTACACAACTTGATTATTCTGTACAAATGTGTACATCTGTGTAACAACCTCTAAGATCAAGACAGAGATTTATTTCTCAGATGGCTCTCGTAAGCTCTCTTATCAATAACCACCTCCAGTAAATGTTGTTCTGACATCTATCACTATAGATTAATTTCACTGCTTCTTGAACTTCACCTAAGTAAAATATAAACAACTCCTGGATGTATGGCTTCTTTCTAACCTTATTTCTATGAATCCACCTTTGTTGTGAGTATAGCACACATTCTTTTGTTGCTGTGTAGTATTCCATGTATACATGTAGTACAATTTATTTACCAATCTACTTTTACAGCCATGTAGAATATTTGTCATTTTAGGCTATTATGAATAAAAGCTACTAAGGACATTCCTGTTTATGTCTTTTGGTGGCCATATATATTCCCATTTTTTAGCATGTAACAAGGGGAAGAATCTGGGTCAGAAGGCATATATTTAGCTTTAGTGATATTCCTATCAACAACATAAGAGAATTCCAGTTCCTCTACTTCCTCACCAACATTCGTAAATGACAGCCTTAATTTCACCCATCCTGGTGGGTGGACTATAGTATCACACAGTTTTGTTTAAAAAATTATTTTTTAAACAAATAAACATAAACACATAAAATTAACTATTTTTAAAAAGAAAAACTCAGTAGCAATTTAGTTCCAAAACCTTCCCATCATTCTAAAGTAAAACCTCTTGTCCATTAAGCAGTTCAGTTTTTCCCCATCTCCCTACCACCAGTCCCAGTTCCTTGTAACCATCAGTCTACATTTTCTCTCTACTGATCAATTCTGAATATTTCATATCAAAGAAATCATTCCATATGCATCTTTTTGTGTCTGGCTTCTTAGAATAACAATTTCAAGGTCCCTTCACATGTAGCATATAACAGTACTTCATTCCTTTCTATGGATGAATGATATTACATATGTATATATTACAATTTACATATATATTCCCCCATTGATAGACATTTGGGTTCGTTCCACCTCTTGGTTATTATGAATAGTGTATACACATGTACTTGTCTTAGTTCCCATGTTAAATTTTTCAAAGCATGGACCTAGGAGTGCAATCGCAGAGCCACATGGTAATTCTTTGTTTAACGTTTCTGTAGAACTGCCAAACTATTTTCCACAGCAGCCTAACCATTTTTCATCCTCAATAGTAAAGTAAAAAGGTTACAATTTTTCCACTACCTTGTCAAACTTGTTAGTTTCCCTTTTTCCTATCCCTTCCCTTCCCTTATTTCAAATTATGACCATCCTAGTTATGAGGTAGTATCTCTTTTTCATATTTGCATTTTCCTAATGACACTGATGCATTTTTCATGTGTTTGTTGGTCCACTACATGTTTTGTTTTGTTTTGTTTTCCACTTTGGTAGTGGGGATTGAACCCAGGGGCACTTTGCCACTGAGCTACCTCCCTGGGACTTTTCTTTCTTTCTTTCTTTTTTTTTCTGAGACAGAGTCTTACTAAATTGCTTAGGACCCTACTAAGTTGATAAAGTTGGCTTTAAACTTGTGATCCTCCTGACCCAGCCTCCTGAGTCACTGGGATTACAGGTGTGCGCCACCATGCCTGGCTTCAATACAATTGTAATTTTCAATGTTTGATGATACGGAACATCTTTTCCTAGGTTTACTGTCTATTTAGACATCTGTTCTACAAAGTGCAGGTTTCAATCTTTGCTCACTTTCTTCTCTTGTGTTTACATTTTTCTAATTATTTTATGGCAGTTCTTTATCTACTCTCTATATAAGTCCAAGTATTCACCTCACCTTTATTTTCTTAGTGA